TTGTGTTGCAGAGACCGGACATCAACATAAATGGATATGTTAAAAAACCAGGCAAATCGTTCTAGAAGAGTTCTAGTCAGTCTGAGTTGCATCAGGGGAATTCTACCGCAATTGGTTTAATTCCCTTTTGCTTAACCCTCTTCTCTAAAATGTCTTCTCTTTTCCCGGCCGGACCAGACTCAATTGCCGTCTTGACCTCGTCTGAACTGATCTCATCATTACCACCAAATTGGACTCGAACTCGAGTTGTAGTGTTTTTTCATCGTTGACACTGCACCGGTTTGTCACGAGTGCTCCAGAGTGCCGGGATCCATGCCTAAACCATGCTTACAGTGGGATTATAGAAGAGCAAAACATTCGACTATACTACTTATATTCATAGAAAGTAGGCTTAGACATCATTATTAATTGTTGAATAATAACTAGGTCGCATAAAGTGACTAGAATTTGTAGTCAAGTTTTACTGACAGCATCGCAACCCACTCTCCATGCATGTACGTTTTTCTATTTTCTGCCGTCGTTTGGGTTGTTTACTTATCTTGTTGTACGAATGCGTGTATCTCTCGAGAAGGTCTCAGGCCAAGTCAAATAGCAGCAGACCACAAAGAGTTTGATGCGGCCTTTGGATGAGACCAACCTCCTTTTGACTCCAAACTTTAAACGTTCTTCCAGTCAAAATTTGGCTACATTCTCAGACAAGCATGCCTACGCTCAAAAGTCTTAAAGTGGCCACTCATCAAAAGTTCGAATCCTGTCAAGTGGGCATTTCCGCATCGTGCGGAGATCTACCATTTGCGATCCGCGGAGCAGTCAGCCCAACCGGATCGTCAAGTCACCACTTGAGATCCGCTCTGATCGAACTCAAAGTTGCTTCCTACAGCAGCTCCAGTAAACGGCCAATCTCCGTCTAGTTGTTGTCAAAAAGATACGATGCACACAAGCGCTTGCACCAATTCAGTCATGACGGTCGACATGATTGCATCTGCTGGTTCTGAGCCAATTTGGTACTAGGACTGGACAGTCTATCATCTTTCCATATGCTCCGTTCTTGAGAGTACGGGCCCAGCATTGGCACCCATTCGATTTTGCGACAGGCACTCTTGGTCCATCCACGAGGAAGTGAAGAGGAGACGGGCTTTTTGTCGACAAATCCTCTTTTCTGTGTCGTCGGAGATGTGATTTCGCATGCCTCTAATCCTCATCTACAACATCATTCAAACCGGCGTCCTACTCAACTCGCGGTTGAGTCCGGAGCCCGATTTATGCCATCACCTCCACATGGAGCCGACCATCCGGTTTATGTGGACAGTGTTTTTTTTCTCATTTTCCACACGTCAATACATACAACAAACACATCCTGGCCACAGCGTTAGCATTCACCTCGGAGCTCGCCTATCCAAAATGAATGCATGTGAAGTGGTCTCGTATGAATTGGTCAATCGTCCTTGCTTTATTATCACACTCCATTTTCGAAATCAGCTTAATTCTCAATTCACCTTTCGATCCAAATCATACACATGAGAGGAACACTTTTTTCGTCATCTGCACCATACCTCGCCATATCACATACTCGCATTCAGAGACAAGCAAGCAAATAGATATCCACAGTCATTCCGACATATGCACATGTGCTTGACACACACACACACAAAGTTGAAT